CCATAGTCTGTTTAAGCATCTGGCACTGGTACATGTTACGAGGACTCTGATTATGTTAGAGAACGGGGTGAGACCAGCGATGACCGATAACATAGAAATAGGACTCAGCTCGATATGAGTGTACTTCATTGGGATGTTCTCGGGGACACTAGACGTTTTAGTGGATGCTTCCAAGTCCTCCCTAGTAGCGGCTATCTTGAGGAAGACCTGCTCCATAGGACCAACAAGCTCCTCGTTACCAGTGGCCAGGTCCCGAACGGGGCGGACCATCCTACAAGGGCCAGTGAAGAGCCAGAGGCCCTCGAAGGAGGCCGGGGTCTGGCAGGCCACAATCTCAAGGTCGGCAGGCACCCCTGGGCAATCCTTATCGATCTTGAGCCTCCTCAGCTCCTCGGCTACCGCCTCAAGACGGCTCCTGGCAACTTTACCGAGCACACGGCCGTCCAGAGTGACGTAGGCATTCTCCCCAGCACCATAGTTAGCTGTAGAGGTCTTACTACTGCGGACCAGCTGCACCCCAAGGGAAGCCAACTCTTCCTCAAGGCCCGGGATCACGCCCTCCGGAGAGGCTATCCTTACCACGGGCTGGCAAGGGGCAGCAAGATGGTTCAACAGACCACAAGGAGTACCATCAGGGGTGTGCACAGGGCAGAGGAATCCCCAGGTCTCAGGTAACAGCTTACGCACAGAGGTCGTCTTCATCTCTTGGAAGAAGGAACCTCTATGCACAGCCCTAAAGTGGGACAGGTAACGGTAGGCGTTAAGCTTATCAGCGACCACAGTGAAACCTGTGGTCTGCTGTAGATCAAGACCACTCCTCGAGGTAATGTTGCCGGTGGCCAAGAAGCTCTCCATACGTTTAGTAACGTCACAAACGCCCATGAAGGTGTTCCGGATGAGTTCGGCTGAGAGTACAGTAGGGGCTCGACCCTTGCCAACCTGGGCTTGTCGCGACTTCTTGGCCAAGGCTCCTTCCAATCTCAATAGAGAGGACTGAAGGACCTCCTTAAGGAGAGCCCCGAAGAGCTGACCAGGGAGGAGGAGCTCTTGGACATCCATAGCATCAGCGTTATCACGAGCAATGTCGCCACGGACCAAAGCCATCAGCTTACGGAAATAAGCACCAGGCAATCGACCTGATGACGGCACAATTTGTCACGCGCACGAAATCACCACACTGGTACCTTAGCCT